TCTGCAATGACATATATGATATATATAAGACCATCTGGAAAAAGTGCATATAAGCCTCAAAGTAGCAAACTTCAAGAGTTAACGTATTCTTTTGGGCATCTCTTAAGGGATTTGACACTTTTTTTAATTTTTTTTTAATAATATCGGATTGGTAACATTAATTTTCGAGGAGGATATGACTTACGTAGAGACTACCTTTAACTTCCACTCTGTTTACGCGATTGGAGTGCAAAACGGGGATCAACATCTTGACCGTATCGAGGAACCAAAATTACATGTTGAGATCATGTGTACTAATAGAAAGGAGAGGTACAAGCAATGGCGATGAAGGCAACAAAAGATTTCTATATGTATTTTGATATAGAGATCAAACCATATTTTTGTTCTGGCGGTGAGTATAAGCTCGGTGGATTCTAAGGCCACACAGATCAAACCATATTTTTCAATATACGCTTCACGTTTTTAAGATGCATTCTCACCGCTAGGCTGAAGGTAAATCAAGATGCGATCTGGTGAGCTTGTCTTTGCCTAGCAAGTGATCAAGAACTGCTCATTCATGTAGAGCTATTAAGTTTCGCGGACTTCAAATTCAAGACCAAAATTTTCCAAACTCTTTCTTACTTTACAAGAGCTACGAGGTTAACCTTGGCTAGTACTTAGTGATGCATCTAAAACTTGTAGAGCTTTAGCAATTAGATATAGTACTTAACATATACTTGCAAGGATACACGTAGGTGCAAGCATCAGGTTTAACACCTTTACGGTTACTTCGTCCCCGTTACACCGGAGATGTGAACTTCCTATAATAGGGCCCTACTAACCTAGTTGGAATATGATTATTGAAATATTATAAAACTTTTTAACATGTGTGGTGTGTATATTTTACATAATAACAAGACAGTTAAAAACACCTGAAAAGAGAGAAAACATTACTAAAAATGGTTCTCTTTGGCTTTCATAAATAATAAAATAAAAATACGTGTAATTCAAAACCTATTTCAACAAATCAATTACATTCGATAATATATTGGTTTATAAGGCAAACAA